TGGATGATGGCTGGATGTACAGTTGGATGATGGTTGGATGATGGCTGGATGATGGCTGGATGTACAGTAGGATATATTGTTGGATGATGGTTGGATGATGGCTAGATGATGGTTGGATGATGGTTGGATGATTACTGGATGATGGTTGGATGCTGGTTGGTTGATGGTTGGATGATGGTTGGATAATGGTTAGACAAGGACTAGATGATTGTTGTTTGATGTTTGGATGATGGCTGGATGATGGTTGGATTATTGCTGGATGATAGTTGGATGATGGTTGGTTTATGGTTGGATGATGGCTAGATGTACAAATGGATATATTATTGGATGATGGTTGGATGACACTGGATTATGGTTGGATGATGRCTGGATGATGGTTGGATGATGACTGGGTGATAGTTAGATGATGGCTGGGAATGGTTGGATGATGGTTGGATGATGGCTGGATGATGGCTGGATGTACAGTTGGATGATGGTTGGATGATGGCTGGATGATGGCTGGATGTACAGTAGGATATATTGTTGGATGATAGTTTGATAATGGCTGAATGATGGTTGGATTATGGCTGGATGATGGTTGGATGATGGTTGGTTGATGGTTGGATGATGGTTGGATGATGACTGGATAATGGTTGGATGCTGGTTGGATCATGGGTGGATGATGGTTGGATGATGGTTGGATTATTGTTGGATGATGTTTGGATGATGGTTGGATGATGGTTAGATGAAGGTTGGATGATTGTATGATGATGGTTAGATGATGGTTGGATGATGGTTGGATGATAGTATGATGATGGCTGGATGATGGTTGGATGATGGTATGATGATAGTATGATAATGGTTGGATGATACAGTATTATATGATGGTTGAATGATGGTTGGATGATGGTTGGATGATGGCTGGATGATTGTTGGTTGATGGTTGGATGATGGTTGGATGCTGTTTGGATGATGGTTGGTTGACGGTTGGATGATGGCTGGATGATGGTTGAATGATGGTTGAATGATGGTTGAATGATGGTTGGTTGATGGTTGAATGATGGTTGAATGATGGTTGGACGTTGGTTGAATGATGGTTGAATGATGGTTGGTTGATGGTTGGATGTTGGTTGGATGATGATTGGATGGTGGTTGAATGATGGTTGAATGATGGTTGGACGTTGGTTGAATGATGGTTTGATGATGGTTGAATGATGGTTGGTTGATGGTTGGATGTTGGTTGGATGATAATTGGATGGTGGTTGACTGATGGTTGAATGATGATTGGACGTTGGTTAAATGATGATTGGACGTTGGTTGAATGATGGTTGACTGATGGTTGAATGATGATTGGACGTTGGTTGAATGATAGTTGAATGATGGTTGAATGATGGTTGGATGCTTTTTGGATTTTTGTTGGTTGATGGTTGGATGTTGGTTGGATGATGGTTGGATGATATTATGATGATGGTTGGATGATAGTATGATGATTGTTGGTTGATGGTTGGATGTTGGTTGGATGCTGGGAGTCTGGCTCCAGCTCTTGATGTGATTCTCCTCTAAATGCTCCTCAGGTGAAGCTGCAGAAAAACCAAAGAGGAACTCAAAGCTTCCATCAGAGACAGTGGTCCTGCTGGTTCTCTGTGTTCTGCTGGCTGCTGTTTTCATCATTATTATCACACTCTGTGAGTTTAAACAGTTGATTCAGAGAACAGAAACCATGTGTAAAATAATGTTTGCAGTGTAACACACTGTGGTTCAGTGTTTACAATCATCATGTTTGAATTTAATTTGATCTCAACTAACTGTTGTTTTTTATTGTTTCTTTTAATCAGTTGTCCTTTCGATGAGCGATAAATCAGTTGAAACCCTGAGAGAGGAGAATGAAGCTCTGAGGAAAAACCTCTCAGGTGAGACAGTCAGGGACTGAAAGAGTCCACAAGGTTCAGACTGAAAGTCTCAGTTCTGTCAGGACTCTTAATGTCTTTTTATAACTGTCAAATTCATTTCAACAGAAATGAGAAACTGTTTTTAATATATTTTATTTTCTACAATAGAAATAATCTGGAGAGAACAGCCAACATGTCCTTCATGTCCTCCTCCTCCTCCTTCATGTCCTCCTCCTCCAAGTCCTCCTCCACCTCCTTCATGTCCTCCTCCTCCTCGTCCTCCTCCACCTCCTCCATGTCCTCCTCCACCTTCATGTCCTCCTCCTGAAAGGCACAGTAAGTATAGGATGTAGTGTTTGTGTCCTCCCTGTCCTGTAATGATCTTACAGAAACATTGATGGACTGACAGATACAGGAAGTTAGATTGTAACACACAAACATCAACACACATTTCTTCCTCCTGACTCAATGAAGCTTTCATTTGTTTTAAAGATAAAATGCACCTGATATGTGAAGAAGGCTGGGAGGAACATGGAGGGAAGAGTTATAAATTCTTAACCTCTAAAGCCTCCTGGGAGGACAGCAGAAGTTTCTGCAGAGATCTTGGAGGAGACCTGGTGAAGATCGACAGCAGAGAGGAGCAGGTATGAAACACTGCTGCAGGTTCATGTTCTCACACATTTCATCACTTCATCAAGTTTCTTCATGTCAGGAAAGTCTCAGAGATATTTTCATCTTTTACTGCTCAGGAGTTTCTGTTGGAAAGAATAAAGAGCAAGATAAATGATGATGAACACGTATTCTGGATCGGACTGACGGACTCAGAGACTGAAGGCACCTGGTTGTGGGTGGACGGATCTCCTCTGGATGAAAGGTTTCATCTAATTTCTTTTAGAAACATTTTAATTTTATTTACAAATTAAACTCACTGAGTTCTGTCAGAGTTAAAATCACCTGTTTTTCCTGTTCTTTAGTTTTTGGATCGGAGGAGAGCCCAACAATGGAGTAGGTCTTTTCGGTTTAAGAGAAAACTGTGTGGCTTTGAAACGTCTGGAACTGCAGTCTTGGAATGATCAGCCCTGCAGTTCTCCTGCCAGAAGAATCTGTGAGATATCACTATGATCTCTCAGAGTTCATGTGTGTGAAGTTCAGTTCAGTGAGTAAAACAATCTCAGTCCAGGATCCAGAAGCAGCAGCCAGGCTGCTTTCAGGAACTTCATGTCACAAACAGTTAAAGCTTCCTTCTAGTTTGCAGCTTTCTACAGATTTGTAGCCTTAATCTTTGTGTTTCTTGTCTTTTATTCTAAGTTTAGTCAGCTTTGATTTTTCAGCTGACTTCTGTTCTTGTTAGGCTCAGATTAGCAGGGACTGATTGGTAAAAGTGGGATTAGATAATCCAGGATTATTAGTGGGACAGTTTTGGATTCTTCATTCCTTCATGAATAAAGTTCTAGTTTCTGCTCTTCATCCACCTGCCTCCTGCTTGCCTCCTTCGTCTTCCTCTCATTAAAAGGGACACAGACTTTCACAGGAAATGAGTTTTCTCTTCTTCATTGAAGTTAATTGTTTCTAAATATTAACCAGGAGGACGTCAGGAGGAACACAGATTGTCACATTCCTCCTGAGTCTCAGTTAAAGAGCAGAAAACTGATGAGATTCATTTTCTGATTCCACTCCTCCAACATTTACTAAGTTCATTAAAGAAACTGTTAAAGATGCACAAAGAAGCTTTGTTGTACAGGACAAACATGATGACACCTTGTTCTTTAGTGTTTCAAACAACTGAAGGTGGAGCTTTGACCAGCAGGTGGCGCCAAACTGAACTGGATCAAAAGTTGGAATCCTGACAGCCACAGATCTGAACAAAGATCCTTCATGGTCTGTTAGCAGCTGAAGTAAATGATGGGAACCACTCTCAGCTACTACCAGTCCACATGTTAGCTCAACTTCTGTAAAACTGACATGAATATGGACGTTTGAGCTAAATTAGCTGTGGCTGCCATATCTCCATAACAGTTGGCGTTGTCGCAGGCCCCACTAGGAGATCGACGGACCAAGGCCACATTACAGGTGGACTGATATGTGTGAGAGCAAGGACTGGACTGCTCAGGACCGTGACTCCAGCTGGATGAAAAGAACCTTTTTATGGTAAAATTTTTAACAACAGAGATACATTGGTGACGATTGTGATGGATGATCTTGAATAAGCAAAGAACATTGAATTTTTATTTTTGGCTGTTGAAGAACCTGAGAAGACTTTTGAAACATCATTTGCTGATAGTGAGTACAGAACAGCCTCAAGATGCCTCCTTACTTTTCCAAAGAGGATTTCTGCCAGCTTCTCCAAAAGGCGATGGTGTTGGAGCTCAAGATTCATCGTCTGGAAGAGATGAATGCTTTGGAGAACTCAACATGCGTTCAAATGGGTGATAAGGCTGAGATAAGAGATCCACAGGTTGAGAAGATGGAAGCTGTTTCTGAGAGTAAAGCTGTATGGAACTCTGTTTGTGCCAGACCAAAAAAATCTCTCAGGAAGGATTCAGCTCTTTGATGACAATGAATAGTCAGAGTTACAGAGAAATGATTTTTTTCCACCAGCAAGGAGAAGAAAACGACAGGCTGAAATCAAAAACAACTGATAACAGCCAGAGAAATGAAGAGAGAGCAGTCTTTCTTCAAAACAGATTCACACCACTGGAAGAAACTGGTGAGTCTGAACAAAGTTCCCTATCTG